AGTCAACCAAGTTGATGACTTGTTGCCCATTGTTGTTGTCTTTGTGCGCAATGAAGGAGCGGAGGTTGTTGTACCGCGCTTGGAGATGAGCAACCTGCGCGCCGGGCTCAGCGCACCCGCGCCTCTGCAAAAGCCACATCTGCATGCCTCCACTCTTATTACCCCAGTTCATGGTTCTGCTTGCATTGTGAGGATAGGAGACGGTCTGTGATCTGACATGCCTTTCTCTCCTTTCCTTTGCTTCGAGGGCCACATGCCTCTCCCTACCACTGATCAACAGCACCTTCGCTTGCCCCATCACCAATATGGCATCCGAGCCATCATGAAGAGGAGCAGACCTATATCTTACTAGGAGTACAGCTGCCTCTCACAAGGAGCGTAGCTGTACATCACTTTGGAATGTGTGGTTGCCTCTTCGCCCCAACATCGTCTGTCAACGGCGCACCAGCCTTCAACATGCCTCAATCAGATGGAGCGACTAAGCCGCGCTGCGATTGAAGGCTAGATCACCTTAAGACACTGCAACTTAGACTGGTAAGCACCATATGATTGATGCTCTGCTGACAATAGTCATCTCTTCCATGCAATTGACTGTCCTCTCAGCTCTGCGTGTGCTCAAGCTATGGCGGTCTGTAGAGGGCTGTGGACAAAGTACCAAGCTTTTGAGGGCAGCACTGTACACATTAGTGTTTGCCATCTAGACAAAACCTCTCACATCAAAGTGAAGTGGCAAGGGCGGACTTCTCGTTGATCTCAGCCTTGGTCTTTCCCACTGGGTAGCAGAATGCAAAGCAAGCGGCTGTTAGACACGACACGAACTTACCTTGGGTCCCGCTCACGTGACCCAAGGTAAGTTCGTGTCGTGTCTAACAGCGGCCCATGCTCGCCAAGACCTCCCCAAGAGCCGTTGGATTAAGGCTCTCAACATTGGCACACCTGGTTGATCTTGGTTGCAGAATCAAGTCGCCAAAGCTTCGGTTCTGCATGGAACAAACAATGTAGCTCATCCCAAGCTCTCAGACTTATCCCGGTCTTCAAGTCCAAGGGCCATATCGATCTTCAGCACAATCAACCCAAGCTTGCTGTCACTGATAGGTGGCAATTGGCTTACAAGCCTCTGTAGCTTGTAGGTGTTGCACAGGTGATTTGGCCGTTCGGCCCAATGCCTGCGCACTTCGATTCTGGACTTGTGCCAAAAAGCTCCCTCTTCTGTCCCAGGGCTTTGCCTACTCACTGACCTGCTCACAAGCAAAGCTTCCCAGCTGTGACTGGTCAGTCCAATTGCTGGCCACACAACATCAGGACTAGCTTGAACCGGTGTTTCTCATGACATGGTGTGCAGTCAATTACTTGCCTGATGTTGAGCCTAAAGATATGTATGTAAAGAGCAGACAACGGTGGCTGAGCTCAGCTGCAAAAGGGCACATTGTGTCCTCACAAAGCGTTTGGCTTCCAGTGACCTTCCCGTTGAGAGCATGCTGGAAAGTCTGAAAGCTGTGGAAGCCAATTGCCAAGGTCTGCTGAGCATTACCCCTTTGGCTAAAGTCCTTGCTTTCGCTGACGTCACACATCAGAAAACAGAGACTGATCTCAAGCAAGAAGTTGGCAGATTAGCTGGTATCCTGCGTAAGCTCTTGGCATAGACCAAACCCTGCTGAGAACACCATGCAAATCCTGCAAGCTCTACAGGGCAACAGCCACAGCCTCCTAAGTATTTGACCCCTCCTTCATGAGCTTTGTCCTTGGGCCCAAGGTCTGGCTGGCAAAATCACTAGCAGCTGATTGCTAGCAACAGCACTCCTGACAAATCCAAGAAGGCGCTACCTGAGCTGCAAGCTACAGAGGCTTCTAGCCACAATCCTACGCAAGCTTTGTACTTTCGCTGAGGCTCTGGCTGGCAGATATCACCACCAGCTGATTGCCAGCAAGGGCAATTGACATGGCGCACTAGCTGCTGTCTTGGGCACAAGCATTGGTCACAGAGGAGATTCTCCTCTTACAGCCATGCACACCAACCAGAAAGGGAGCAGCTACCACAAGCATGCAAGGCGCTCCTCTTGGCTCCTTGGCAGTCCAGGAAAACCCTGCAAAGATCAGCAAGGAGACCTTTGAGGTGAGCAAATGCTGCCTACATGCAAACCACTGTTGCTCACACTGATCAACAAATTCCTGTCTATGCCAGTCAAAACCTTTGCAAAAGTGCCTGGGCACCATTCCTTGCTACACCCTGACCTGCGCTGTGTGCCATCCAAGTGCTACCCAACAGGTTGACTCTCCTTGATGGTCTTTGGTTGCCTGGCAGACTTGAAGAGTCAAACAAAGGTCAAACTTAAAGGTGCCTCAATCGAAATGGCAGCAAAGCTGAAGGACCCAGTCTTGCCAGAGACTGAGCTGCTGCCCAAAGGTTGCTGGTCTGGCTTGCAGCAGGTGCGCGGGCAGCAGTGGCACGCTTGCTGGCAGCATCTTTGTGGGGTAGGTTATCTTGGCCTTGACTTTGGCAGGCGAGAGGCGTAGGAATGGTGGAGGTGCCTTGTCCAGGCATAGAAATAGCTGAGCAGCAGACTGAGATCGTGACGAGAGATGGAGGCGGCCAGGTGCACGACACACCGTCAGCACCACCCTGTCAAGCCGAGCTTACTGTTCTGCCAAATCTCTCATGGGGCAATGCGTTGCGGTCACGACGATACTGTTGGCATGAAGACAGAGTCAGCTGACAAGAAGGAGAATTGGAGAGCAGTGTCGGCATGTGTGCAGGAGGAAGCTTACCTTGTCGATGGTTAGGCAACGCTCCGCCATTCCGACATAGCCCAACTTTTGCTTGATGGTGGCAGCAGTGCCGTGCTGGAGCTGGGTGATTGAAGT